TCAACCTGAACATCGACGAGGATTACGACCACAGGGCCTCCGGGATCACGCCCTCCTCTTTCTGCATGATTTATGTGGACTGGATTCAGTATTGCAACAGCAGGCGTCAAACGGTTTGTCTTTGCACGGGCTTTGTTTTTCAAAATGTTCGTCTTAAGAAGTGATGGAAAGTCATACTAAAGCTCAAGTTGGGATCTTATTGGAGTTGCTTGAACTTCTACTTCTTGTGTTTTTCGTTGCAGCCTGTTACAAGTGATCGAGATTCTCCTCTGGTCAGTCTGTGTTTTGGCTTGTGTATCCTGGGAAGAAGAGCTCTGGGCACCGCCTCCCACAGCATGTCTGCAAGGTGAGAGCACCAACTACCGTTTGTTTGTTTGTTTGTTTGTTTGTTTTTTTTGCTCACATAGTGCAAGAGTTCACTATTCATACCCCGCTCTGCTTTTGGCAGCTTGGAGCCGTTCCTCTACGGCCTCCACGCACTCTTCAAGGGAGACTTTCGCATCACATCTCCACGAGACGAGTGGGTCTTTGCAGATATGGACCTGTTGAATCGAGTCGTGGCGCCCGGAGTGCGAATGTCCCTCAAGTTGCATCAGGTGGTGCTTTTCAAACCAGCGGGAAACATCTTCTGAGAGGAAAACCTGAACGGGAGGTTTACATACTGACCCCTGGTGCGCTCTCTCTCTCTCCCCCCCCACTCAGGACCACTTTACATCCCCGGATGAGTATGAGGACCCCACGGTGCTGTATGACGCCATCACCACCAACGAGGAGAAAATGTTGATATCGCACGAGGGCGACCCCGTTTGGCGCAGCGCCATCCTGGCCAACATGCCGTCTCTTCTGGCGCTGCGTCACATCATGGACGACGGCAGCGATGAGTACAAAATCATCATGTTGAACAAGAGGTTCCTCAGCTTCCGCGTCATCAAGGTTGGACATCCTCCATTTTGTCTTTTCAGTTAGTAGTGGAATAGTCTTGGGGTTTTTTTTTTTTTGGGTTTTTTTTTTTTTTTTTTTTGGCGTGTTTTTCCTTTTGATTCCCACCTAACACCACTGACCGGCCTTGTGCTCTGTTTACAGGTGAACAGAGAGTGCGTGCGTGGGCTGTGGGCCGGCCAACAGCAGGAGCTGGTCTTCCTGCGCAACCGCAACCCCGAGCGCGGCAGCATTCAGAACGCCAAGCAGGCCCTGAGGAATATGATCAACTCATCGTGCGACCAGCCCATCGGCTACCCCATCTACGTGTCGCCCCTCACCACATCGTACGCGGGCGGGCACGCTCAGCTGCGCTCCGTGTGGGGGGGCCCTGTCAGCCCCCACAACATCTACAACTGGCTCATCAATAGCTGGGACAGGTACCGTACGCCGCTTTGGACGGTAAGATTTGGCGTGGGTTATGGCCGTGAGCACGACAAGTCGCTTTCTCCAACAGGATGCAGAAAGGATGCGGCGCTGGTTGCAACAGCGGCGGAAACATCGAGGACTCGGACTGCGGCGGCGGTTCCGCCTCCATCACGACCAACGTCGCCATCCACACCACCCAGAGCACGCCGGCCTCCGGCCTTCCCCAGCCACACATCACCACGATGCAGCCCTTGATGGGTAAAACGCTCTCCTCTCTCTGCCTCTACAGTAGTAGAAGCGCTGTGATGCCGTTCATTTTGCAGTTTGAACGGCTGGGTCTCATTGTTTTGTTGATTTTTGCCCATCAGGTACTGACAATCCAGTCGGCCCAACCCAGAACTGGCCTCACCACCCCCAACCCCTCCCGCTGGCTCTGCTCAGCCAATCAGAGGGCCGGATGGATGCAGGACTACCTTCATCCCTCCAGCACACGTCCTCCATCCAGGGCCTGCTGGGTCAGCAGCTGTCCAACTCGCAGCTCTCCTTCAGCGGCTCCGTGGCGCCGCCTCCTCTGCCGATGCCCGAGCGCTTTTGCCCCGCCGGCTTCTTGGAGAACTCGAGTCACAGGGCGGGCCAGCGGGCTGGTCTCGCCCAGGGCAACATGCTCCACTTTGAGAGCCATTTCGGGAAGTGGAGTTTTTCCGGCAGGAAGGGCTTTAACGGGCTGTCGGCGGCGCCGGAGGGCGATGGAGGAAGCGTCCATGCCATCCACACGCAGGTACTGAAGTGGTGGTGATGGTCACGATTCACTTTCTTCCCATCTGTCTTACTATATGGAAAATTTTTGTTTGTTTGTTTGAGAATCTAAATTTTGTGAAAATTTATACACAAGCTTTCACATATTATACCAGAGTAGTTATATTTGACTGCATTAGATTTGTTGTACAGTAAATAATACATTTACCCCGTTAATGTCAAGAAAATGACTGCCACCAGCAGTCTGTATTACTTTCTTCGTCATATGCGATAGGTCAGGACCAAGATTGCTGATCACAAAAGCATTCACTCGTTTGAAATATTTTAACCGCCTTCCTTCTCCACAGCCGCCGCCCCCCGGCCCCCCACAGGAGGCCAGTCCCACACAAGATCCGCTGGGAGCGACGCGGGCAGTGGACTCCTGCCTGCTGCCGGCAGGGGACGCCCCCGCACCGCCTGACGAATCCACAGAGTTGCCTTTACTCGAGCACCTGCGCTGATGCCCCCACCCCCCACCGTCTCCTGGACATCTCCACTCATCAAGTCTTCAGTCCTCATTCTATCCGTTTTTTATTGCCTATAGATCCACAACACAGGGATTTTATCACGAAGAAATCGACACTCCCTCCTTTACGGTCTCACAGCATGTTGCACGTCGATCCACGACGTTACTCCCAAAGTCATCTTCATAAGGAACTTTTTGGGTCAGAGGCGCTTTGTGTTTACGTGCGTTTGTGTGTGTGGGTGCGTGTGTGCGTGTACGTGTAACGTGAGTGTATGTCTGCTAACAGGCCAGGAAGGCCAGTGCAATTATAAGGGATCTTTTGCTTTCCTTTGCTTGACGATTGTTTAATGTTTCTGAACTGGAGCATGGAAGATCAGCTTTGACTGTGTGGACACCACAAGAAGCCTTGTTTCGTTTTCTCTCCCGACTCAGTTCTTCTCCCACCTGCGCTCAGTCCGGAAGAATACAACAAACTCGCAACCCAAGTGAAAATCAAAAGGAACGCCCCCCCCTCCCCCTCCCCCCCT